GATTTTTATATAACCCTGCACATCTGATGGGAAAACATTGTATTTTAATGCAAAAATTAGTACATTTTTTACGATTTTAGTAGGAGATCAAAAAAATATTAACCTCAGACGTTATGAGGGTAGTAAAGAAATTCTAATTCAAGCTGAAATTTAAATAATAACTACAGATAGATAAAACTATATGTTCGAGCTTGACTCGAACTTACAGTGATAGAAAAAAAGGCTCTTAATTTTTTTTAATTTAAAAAAAATAGCGTGAAAGCTAAGAGTGAACTACTCTTTGCTTAGCTCCTATTAACATTCTATTAACATTTTCACTCAACTGCACATACATACGGTACATGAAGTTTGTCATTGAGCTCAAAAATATGATATATTTTAAAAAAAAATTGAAAAAAATTATTAAGGAACAGTATTTAATTGACACCAACTAAACACTGCTTTAAAGTGTATTTTACATGCTACAAATGGAGTGCAGAGAGTGAATTTTACACAACCAATATCTCGATTTGACTGGTAAATACACATACGCATACAATAAAGAAATTGTACTTTGTGGAGCGATATTAAAAAAAAAATACAAAAAAGCAATTTTTAACGCACCTGTTCTTTTTTTAATGTAACAATAATCACGATAGTAAATTTAAAAAAAAAATAATTTTCGCCCATTCACTGATTTACTTAATTTTAAGTACGAAACGTACAAAACTCAAGTGTTTTTGTAAATACAAAATATATAATAAATAATAATATTTATCTTGACACAATAGTTTTTTCTTGGTTAGTTCAATGACACATACAAACATACTATATGTATAGTGCCTAAACTTGTAAAGTCCGTATAGGGAATTTATTTTAAACTATAATAGAGAAGTTAAACATAAATACACCATTTAAAGCAAATAACGAATACCTAAAATATGGGTGTGCGGATAAAAAATTGATTATTTCTCTAAATTACTTACCAAAAACCCAAAACGCTCTAATAAAATTCATTTCATTAGAATCACATCATTTCACGACATTCCGCATAACTACAGTGTAAACATTCTTAAACAACATAAAACATAATTAATCTACAACAATGGAGAAAAAAAAACTAAATCTACATTACAGATAATAAAAATAGTATTTTAATTAAATTAAAAAATATGGCAACACCCATAATTGCACCAAAGAATCAAATGACACTCAAGAGATCATGATAAATTCAACAAAAAATATTATATATGTACACTGTAAAAGAAGAAAATTTATACTTTCAAATGCACTATAAAGTCGGTAGTTATAAATTAATGTTATCTTTTGTAAAACAGAGTTTGCAGTTAACTTTTACTTCATTAGGTATGTTTTAATTTTTTGAGGCGAACCCTAATTCTATTTCGAAAATAAAAGTAGAATAAGTTATTCCTTATATCATCAGCTATCTGCCAGTGTAAGTCCCGTCAAAATCAGTCCAGCCGTTTCGGAGATTAGCAGGAACAAACAAACAGGCAAAAATTAAAAAAAGGTGTTTTTCGATATAAATACCACATACTTTCATATGTATTTAATAAAAAGCTGTTATTTGACATTACAAACAGGCACTTCAATTTTATTTATCTGTATAGATTATCGACTTACCTTGCTTCGCTCGGATGCTAGATGCCTATTATATGTGTTATTCCAGATTATATTCTATCTGTGTACATCCAAATATGTCCAGCGATTATTTTATACTACTTTTTACTTCACTTGTATTTATGTTTTGATTAACCCCAAAAAAAATATAATAAAAAATGTTAACAATTTTTTTTAATGTCATTAATTTTGACAGTTTGATTTTAACATCCAATCGCGATTGTTTATGGCAAAAAAAAAACATAATTTTAAGAACTGCGAACTCTGTTGTGTTTACGCGGTTGATACAATTTTTGATATGTATACATTAAAAATGTACCTTATTGGTTTAATAATAATTATTTTTAAAACAAATATTTCTTATGAAAGCTTCGAATTTTTTTTTATAAAATAATATAACGTAAAGTATACAACTTAGGAACTTAACTATTTTTTAAATTATCAACTATTACTTTATATAATTACTAGTATATAATTTTAAACTAAAATTCCACCAAAAAAATTCACATGTACGAAATAATTATTTTTTTACAAATATACCAAATTTGGCTTAAAAATTTTCAATTTTTTTTTAAATAAATACGTCCTGTGGACTCTTACCGAATAGTTTTTGATTAAAAAAATATGTACATAATATATGTTAAATAGCACCTCATTGAAAAACAAAATAAGCGAGAATGAAACAATTTTAGAAAATTGCATCAAGACAAAAATGCGTTATCCTAATTCAAAAAAAAAAGTTTTTTTTTTAATTTTACGCTTAGAGTAACACATTTTTGCACAAACATCCACCGTAACACTAATATTATATATCCGCGCATAATAATGACTGTTAAAATACTACTTAATTAAATTACATGAGATACGAAACATTCCACCTTCGCATAAAAAAAAAATAAAAAAAACTCTCCGCTTTACAAGTCGAAAAGCAAAAGCGTATAAATTTTTTTATTAATAAAATTATTTTGTAACGTTATTACTTCCAAATTAAAAAAAAAACGTCATCAATTTTTTTTTGCAGAAGCGTCGTCTCTTTTTTTCCACATACATTATCATAACATGCCATATTTATGACAGAATGTAATGTCACATTTTTTTAATCAATTTTATATCTCAAACAGCGACTCACCCTCTCTCCACTCGAGTTTGTCCCTAGTTACTTTTAAACAGTTAGTATAGATTTGTCAGAGATGAGATATTTTTTCGCAGTAAAAAGTATCCTATATGTTGACCCGAATAGCCCGCTATCATCATCATACCAAATTTCATTAAAATCTCTGTTTGGTTTACTCGTCATGCGTCCCCAGACAGACAGACAAGAATTCTAAAAACTATAGTTTCGGCCTCTGTATCGATAATAACGACTATTTCAATAAGATTTTCCAAAAAATATTTAATGTACAGATTCGACTCAGAATTTTATTATATGTTATTTCTATTATTTTTTTTTTGCTTTCTGGATGAAAATATTTCGTATCTCCAAGACATAGAGTAACGCTTTATGTACATTATTATTGCAAAATAGTAGACTTCGGTCTAATATAAAAGAAATCCCGATTAATTTCATACTAATAATTTACTGTAGATCTTTTCAAAAAGAAATAAAAATGTTGGGACATAATAAATAAATAATATGTGTAATTTGCACACAGCACCAACACATATGTATATAACTTTAAATACTTACATAATATAAATATACACACCAATAACTGCAGTACAAACATTCGTGCTCATCACACAAATGAATGCCTCCAGCGGGACTCGAATCCGCGACCGCTGGCACAGCATGTAGGGTCACTACAAACTGAGCCAACTGAACCAAACTTCTTGTATATTTTTAGTGATTGTGTACGTGTGTGTAGTGCTTAGATAGCATTTAAATAATAATTTTCGAGTTGAATAAAGTGAAAATGGCAGGAGGTATCTAATACCGACTTTTATAAAAAAAATATTATTAAAACTCATTAAAGAAACACACCTTTTAAATCTTAAGTTCTCGATTATATTATAGCTGTTTTATTTTTTACAGACCAAATAGGGTCATGTGAAAGGGAGTCATATATAGTGTTTTTGGACTTTAAAAAAGTATCTTGTTTGTATTCAGCCCTTTTTTAACATCCTACTGCTGGGCGTGGGCCTCCCTTCAATACGAGGGGAATCAGGCCATAGTCCACCACACTGACCAAGTGCGGGCGGACTGAGCATGTCTTTCGAAAACTTGCTAGGTTCTCTCAGACATGCAGGTTTTTTCACGATGTTCTCCTTCACGTGAGACAAATGGTAATCATGTTGAAATTGATTCGCACATGAAAATATCAGAAGTGCGAGACCCGGGATTTGAATCCGCTTCACTCGGTTACACAAGCGAGCGTGTTACCACTGGACTACCACTGCCTATGCCTTGTATCTATATAAAGCGTTATTCTAGCCCCTTAACTTTATTTCTATTTTCTTAACATTTAAAGATCTTCAGAAGTTTATTCCTTTATCTAAGTAAGAAGTAAAATCTATTATATATTACTATTAAAAAGACTACATTTCTTAAAATTTTGTACTGAAAAAACCTTCTTTCATTGTCTATGCTTTCGCCATAGATAAACTATTTTTTTCACAGATAATAAAGATAAGATGGTTCATTGTTTTTTTTTCTTGAAGACGTTTTATTTTTTAATTTAACAGTAAATCTATGGCAAAAGTATATATTTCACACTATCCTACATCACATTATGCCAAACTGATCACAGATTTTTGACCCTGCCTCTTATATTGAAGTTATCATGGTATCATTTTTTTTTAATTTTGAGACGAACATAAGTTCGTATATGGCATAAACCATAGCATACATATATTTAAAAAAACTCCAAAAAATAACTCTTATTACCAATCAAAAGTGATTTTATTCAAATAAAATCTACTTAATTGATGATTTTTTCATTTTTTTTTGTTATTAAAAAAACACCATGATAACTAACAATAAATTCTACGCGTTTCATTCCTACCATTTTCCCTCCAAAAAATTTTCAAAACCTCAAATTACACTAACTACTATACTTAACTACAATCCAAGTTACGATATTGAAGTTTATTAAAAAAAATACTGCCAAAAACAAAACTAGTTAACATTCCAAAAATTACAGATAATACAATTTTTTATCATAACTATAACAAAAAAAAACAAATTTGAGACAGTAATTTTTTTGGAATCAAATTATTTTTTTTATATGAATTTCACAATATTCTATACCGATGTACAACAAAATAATTTTAATTACCTCATTTCTAAAAGAAAAAATACCAATTATCTTTAATACGGATCAAGCTTGACCCAAAAGTAATTACATAGATAAAAAATACAATCTTTCAACTTTACCAAATCACATTTCTTCCTTTTGATTCATCTTTTTCTCTTCCTCGGGACTCATTATATGAGAAAGTGACATGTGACGTCTGAAATAAAAATAATATTGATATTTACCAGTCATTGGTATACAAAACCTTGCTGAACGGATCTGGATGAAATTTGGCACAGAGATAGATTATAGTCTGGACTCTGGAATAATATAGAACACAACAATTTTTGTTTTCCTAGAGGTGAACCCTAGCAAAGCGCGGATGAGCTGCTAGTAGGGAAAATGCATGTGGTTTAAGTAAAGGTGATTTTTTTTTTATAATATTTATTTCTTTTGAATAAAGCCAATATCAATATTTTTTAATGTAATTTCTTTTTGATTGAGGAAATAATTATTAAAAAGTTAGTTATTATTAAAAAGAGATCGAGTGTGACATCAAAGTATATTACAACAGAGTGATGCGATGTTGTCTCTACACACTAAAGTCGTCATTTCTCTGTTCTATTTCTATCTGTTTCTATCTGTGTCACACAGTGACGTCACGCCGAGCGCGCGGTCGTTTAAAATATCAGTATGGTAATGGTCCATTGGATGATTCCCCATACAAACTTTTATCCTCATTTTCACCCCCTTAAGGGATGATTTCCAGGATAAAAAGCATCCTATGTCCTTCCCAGGGTCTCAGACTATCTTCTTACCAAATTTCATCTAAATCGGTTCAGTAGATCCAGAGATTACCCCCTATAACCTCACAAACTCACAAACTTTACCTCTTTATAATATTCATATAGATTTAGAAGCTAGCTATGCTAATAAAAATGTGTAAAATTTTTTTTTTAATTATATACCTTAATCCCCTTTTAGCACGGAATGACAAACTACACAATGTACAATTCCATTTCTCAACTTTGTCTTTGGGTGGATCCTCTTGGTTGTCTTCTTCCGTTTTGTTTATGATCGCCTCTTCTATGTTGTCTGTGGTCTCTGGTTTAGGTTCAATTTTCTTTATTTTTTTCTCTGGGAGGGGTATTTTGAATTTTTTTAAATCTGAAATAATTTAGCATATAAAAGTATGTGTTAGTGACCCTAGACATAATATTACACATATAACAAAAAAAAACAAATTATAGATAGCAGTTAATATTGTTTAGTTTTCATTTTCAAAAAAAAAAGAACAGAATTTATTTATTTGGCACAAAATTTTTAAGACATAATATAATTACCAATAGGTGTGATCACAACGTTAGGTACCCCCATCACAGCATGGGAGGGAGATGGGGTCACTCGACTCTCCCTCATGCTGTCCAAATCAACCACCTGACTCAGCGGCAGAGCCTCATCGCTTGAACCATCCGACTCATGCTTGGCATGTTGTTGTTTTTTCACGCGTTTTCTAAACCTATAAAGAAATAAAATTGTACTCAAAAAATATGACAGATAAATTAAGGGCTAGGAAAATAAAGGGCTTTTATCTGGTCACTTTTTAACACTATGATAATATTGTCTATTTAAAGTTTTAGAAGATTCCAGAGTCATTCTATATATAAATACATAGGTAAAGACAAAACAGCTCAATACCTGTTTCTTGTAAGTATGTTTTTGTCAACCAATTTTCTTCTTTTTTTTGTTCTATCAAAGAGCTTTAGTTAAAGAGAAACACAAGATTTTGATTTTAATAAAATCCATTCTGTAGTTTTTGCATGCAAGAGTAACAAACATGAAAACATCCATACATCCTCATAAACTTTCACATTTATAATTTAGCAGGATTTGTAGGATTCTTACCTTTTCCGAGGCCTCTTATATATTGGAATTTGTTTTTTCTTAGTTTCTTCATTGTTGTTGTTATTTATGAACTTCTCACAAGCCTCACTGCCTCTCTCCAATGCTTCTAACTCAGTACTACTTGATAGTGAGCTTTTATCACAGGCAAATAGATCTGTTTCGTTGCTCAATTCATTGCTATCTATTTGGTCACTGTAAAAACAAGTTAAACTCTAAAAATTATAAAATTAAAAAAAAATACAGTATTTTTAATAATTCTTTATCATAGATCTTTCCTCTTATACTACTTTTCACTTAAAGAGCATGAAAAATGTACCTTACAACAAATAAATCATAAAAAATATGTATAAATAATTAATTACCTATGGTCTGACAAATCACTTTGTGTACTTGTTTCCAACTTCTTTATTTGGAAGGTTATATTTATCCTTTTATATATTTCTTCTGTAATATTCCGACATTTTTCATATTTCGAGTCTAGATTTTCGCTTGGAATCTTCCAGAGTGATTGATTATTTTGCAAAGTTGACATATTTTGCAGATCTAGGTGGAATCTAGTAAGATCCTTATAAGGAAGTTTGTATCGCACGAAAACTTGTATTTTTATCGATTATATTGAGCAATAATTCCATCTTCGCAGACGTTATAACTAAAATTATGTTACGAAATAATTAAAAACCACTTCAAGGTGTTATGGCGGGATATCAATAAAAAACACAATATACTCGTTTATCACACTCAGCACGTGTAATATCTGCCTCGAATACTATTTTCAATGGATTTTCCTCCATAACATAAATATAAAGCACCAAAAATCACTATTTCAACAACAAAGGGACATCCATCAACATTTTTATGGCACATTAGCTAACGTCAAGGCTCTAAGTTTGCCCGCAAACTTAAATATTAAGACTAGACAAAGTAAAACCTGGTAGCTTTGAGATACTATTAACAATAATAAAACACAAATAAGTTTATAAACTAAATTAAAAACTACAACAGTTGCCTTGCGGCTTTTTTTTGGATTTTTTTGACGTTTTAAATTTAGTGTTGCTTGACACTAATTGCTCATAATTTTTAATGAAAAATAATATTTACCATAGACAACAAACCTGTATACTTCTTTGTTGATAACAACGTCCTTGAAACTTAATCTGTTAGAGATTAAGATAAAACACGACTTTTCATAAGTATTTTGCCGTTTACGTATCGAAATACAACGCAGAAATCTTTCTCAGTTGTGAACGGCCATTTGATGGCTTGTGTCACTTATTATTTTCTATTGTTTTCTTTACCATAGATAAGTGATAAAAATTTTTTTTTCACTTAAACACTATATAATAATCTTATGATAAATAATATTTTGTGTATTTCAAAGTTTAAATTAATTTATTTTTTACATTTTTAAAAGAACACATTCGATACAATATATTTTCATGTTCATATTTTTAGACGAAAACGAATGTTCCACTTCCCGCCATAATCCATATTTATTATGACAAATAATAACTGACAATAAAATTACATGTTTGTGAATATAAAACGTCGATTAAAGTAAATTTTAAATATGGTTAGGTATAAAAATTGAGATTATAATAATTCAATGAGTTATGAACAAAATTTTTACAATTTATGTTAGGATTTTATATGAAGTAACTGAATCATGGCATGTAAAATAGTGACGAAAGGAAAGAAATATTTTGCCAAATTATCAGATAAGCAAGCTCCGTGTGCGTTTTGCAACCGTACTGTTGATGAGGAGACTACATTCGGCAAATTATATAGCATTGGAGACATACATTGCCATTATTTTTGCGTTGTAAGTAATTTTATCAAACTTAGAAATAAGATATTATTATTATATATTTTCACTGTAGTTTACTGTGCAAATCACACTTTATAATCATCTATCAAAATACATACTACCAACAAAAACATATGTGAATTTATTGTTCAGTTATTTGTAGGTCATTCTATTAATTTGTCTTAAATTAACATATTTATTCAGATATGCATACAAGTATAATTGTACAAGATTGCATAATTCAAAGAATACTTATTCTTGCCATCATAATGTTATCATCTATTAATTTCCTAAAAGCCCATATGATATACATTAGTCTGCTTAATAAAAACCCATAAAAGTTTTTTTTTACTTTAGCTTATATTAAATTATATTTTCAGTTGCTATCCTGTTGTCTGGTACAAAGAGGGAAAGATGAAGAAGGACTCTATGGTTTTTTATATCCTGATATATTAGCTGAAATTGAGAGGAGTAAAAAACATGTAAGTTTTAATGTTAGAAATATACTTTTTTTTATCTATGTATAGTAACTCTTGTTGATCCGTCTGTTATGTTTTTATGCCTAAAGTAATGACACAATTTTGATGAATTTTTGTAACGAGATAGATGGGACCTTGGAAAAGGACATAGGATACTTTTTGTCACAAAAAATATAACTTGAAAGGGGCAGTAGGTGTTGATAGTTTGTATGGGTTACCAACTACATAAAGTATACTTACAATAAATATTTTCTTATATATTAAAATTTAAACATACCTAGGGATGTAATATAGCTTGGTGTTAAATTCTAAGAACTATAGATTAGGCCTCTGTATTGATAATAATAACTAATATTTCAATAAAATTTCCCAAAAAATATTGAATGTACAGATTCAACTCAGTTACAATTTTATTATATGTATAGATAACTATTAATGCTTATATAATAAATTATTATGTAGATATATTTGTTTGATGACACATTTGGCTTAGTTTGTAGTGATTCTACTAGCTGTCCCAGCAGGTTCAAGTCCCTCTGGGGGCATTCATTTGTGTGATGACCAATGTTTGTACTCCAGACATGGGTGTTTATATTTATAATATGTATGTATTTAGAGTTATATATGTGTAGTGTATCAACTATCTGGTATCCATAACACAAGCCTCATGGCTTACCATGGAACTAGATGGTGCTGTGTGTTAATGTCCCAACATTTTATTCATTTAATCGTTGTTTTCCAGAAATGCTCATACTGCAATAAAGATGGCGCTACATTGGGGTGCTCGGTGACACAATGCAGGAAGCAATTCCACTTGCCTTGTGGACGGGAGAAGAGTGCAGTTTCATTGTTCTATGGGAACTATAAGTAAGGATCAGTTTAGATTTAATATTTTTTATATCCTACTAATATTATAAATGTGAATTGTATTCTTATATTCAGCCCTTTCTATCATCCCACTGCTGGGAGTGGGCCTCCCTTCAATACTCGAGGGATTGGGTCAAAGTCCCCCACGCTGGCCAAGTGCGGGCGGACAGAGCATGTCTGTAGACAACTTGCTAGGTCCTCTCAGATATGCAGGTTTTCTCAAAATGTTTTCCTTTACGGGAAAGCAAAAATCATCTTGGAAATTATTCGCACATGAGAATATCAGAGGTGCGAGACCCGGGATTTGTACCCGCTTAATTTTGGTTTCCCAAGCGAGTGCGCTATCACGGAGGCTACTATCACCACACATACTTTATCGCCTGCAAAACCTGATTCGTCTTTCATACTATCTGTTACGGACTATGAGTCTTCGCGACGGCAAAATCTAGTTTTAAATCACGTCCCGTTTTTTTTAACACACAGCACCATCTACTTCCATGGTAAGCTACGAGGACTGTGTTATGGATACCAGATAGTTGATACACTACACATATATAACTTTAAATACATACATAATGTTATAAATATAAACACTCATGACTGGAGTACAAACATTCCAGCACCGAACCTGTGACCGCTGGCACAGCAAGTCTCACTACGAACTGAGCCAAGCGAGTCATCATTTTTATTATTATTTTTTAATTTCGATAAAGTATATATTTGCTTTATAATTTATTTTCGATACGTGCGCGTTTTGTGCGTTCTAGATTTAAGCCACGCTTTTTTCTTTGTAAAATCCAATAATAATATTTTAAAAATGTTGCTCGCGTAGTAGTATGTCTAATATAAATGTTAATTATAAACATCGATCAAAAAATCACTAGATACACAATCGGCGACAAAAATGTCCTCACCGAATGAGCACTCATTTGAAGATTTGAGCGTGCTTTTTTTTGTGAAAACAACTTTAAGCATAGCATTTAAGGTTCAATTTACATTGTTGTATATTTATTACAACTAGAATAATTACCTAAACACAATTGGTGACAGTTTTCAGAGAACTTTTGCATGAGATTGTGTATGTAATACTTTTTTGTTTTTTTTTTTAAGTTATAATTCTTAGTAAATAATTTTTTCCAGATCGTTCTGCAAAGATCATGCGCCAAAACAGAAAGTACCTAACGTTATAATGGAGAAAGCTAGAGTTAGGAAGACTTTAGCGAATAAAATCAAAAGATATAAGTTAAATATTAAAGAAAACCCAGGTAATATACTGCTATCTCAGCGCTTATTTGTCCAAACGACCAATTCACTGAAAGAGTTTTTTAATACAGAATTAATATATGTAAATAGTGCAATGTAATAAATGTTTTGTTGTTTTTAACACAACACGATCTAGTTCCATGGTAAGCTACGAGGCTTGTGTTATGGATACCAGATAGTTGATACACTACACATGTATAACTTTATATACATACATATTATAAATATAAACACCCATGAACGAAGTACAAATTTTCCTGCTCATCAAACAAATGAATGCCCCCAGCAGGACTCGAACCCGCGACCGCTGGCACAGCATGTAGCGTAACTACAAACTGAGCGCAACGTGTCGTCAAATCGAATCTGTTTAATTTAATTTGAAGTTTATTTTTTTATTTTTCAGGTATTTTATCATATTGTTCACAGCAAACCCTTTCATTTGATATCCATATCATGGGAGTGAATAAAAAAAAAACAAATTCCGCCATCTTTGGGAGTCCGCCATTATGGATTTGGGATGACGTCACTTGTCTAACCATGCATTGTCAACCAAACTAAACGTGTATGCAAAATTTCAGCTCAATCGGTTGAGGATATCTGCTTTAAAATTCAGTTGCAAGATTTGACCCGAACAAACATGTATTCAGAACTTTTTAACGTCCCACTGCTAGGCATGGGCCTCCCTTCAATACAAAAATGGATAAGGCCATAGTCCCCCATGCTGGCAAAGCCTGCATGTCTTTCAAAAACTTGCTAGATTCTCTCAGACATGCAGGTTTCCTCACGATGTTTTCCTTCACCGTAAGGCAAGTGGTCGTCATGTTAAAAATGATTAGACATGAAAATATCAGAGGTGCAAGACCTGGGATTTGAACCCGCTTCACTCGGTTTCCTAAGCGAGCACGTTACCACTGGGCTGCCACTGCCTATGATAGGAACAAACATACATACAAACATTGCTTAAATAAAAGCTTGTAATAAAACCACTTGTTTACAGATAAAGAAGACGAAAGAACAGTTTGTGTTATCTGCTACGAAGCGGTGGACGGTTTCCCCACAGTCCAGACTTTTTGGCCGCCATGTTGCGCTAGAGATGCTTGGTTCCATAGAAATTGTATAGAAGTGAGTAGTATACAGTATGTATAATAATACCTTCTTAGATTCACTTGAATATTTGACATCTATACATATAATAAAATTCTAACTGAGTTGAATCTGTATATTAAATATTTTTTTGGAAAAATCTTATTAAAATAGTCAATATTATCTATACAAAGTACGAATCTATACTTTTTAGAATTTTCGTCTGTCTGTCTGGGTATGCATCACGAGAAAACCACTGGACAGATTTTGATGAAATTTGGTATGATGATAGCTGGTTATCCGGGTCAACATATAGGATAATCTTTCTTGCGAGAAAATATCTCACATCTCTGAGAAATCTGTACTAAACGTTGTATTGTATTCAGCCCTTTTTAACGTCCCACTGTTGGGCACGAGCCTCCCTTCAATACGAGGGGAATCAGGCAATAGACCACCACGCTGGCCAAGTGCGGGTTGGCGGACTTCACATGTCTTTCGAAAACTTGCTAGGTTTTCTCAGACACGCAGGTTTCCTCACGATGTTTTCCTTCACCGTAATGCAAGTGGTAATCAAGTTATAAATGATTCGCACATGAAAATATCAGAGGTGCGAGCCCCGGGATTTGAACCCGCTTCACTCGATTTCTCAAGCGAGCGCGTTACCACTGGGCTACCACTGCCTTACTAAACATTAAAATTAATAAAGTCACGTTTTTAATACATAAATTATTTATTATTTACCTTTTTTGTTTTTCAGCGCATGGCTTTAAGTGCTGGTGTCCATTATTTAAAATGCCCGCTCTGCAACGACAAAGATAATTTCTACAAAGCAGTGCTAGATCAAGGATATTACGTCCCGGACAGGTAAGAGATTTAATTTTCATGTTCAAAACTTAAGATACTAAAAAATAATATATACACAATGTCATAGAACTAAACATGAAGCCGAATAATAATATTTAAAAATCTATACTAATATTATAAAGAGGTAAAGTTTGTGACGTTGTAGGGGGTAATCTCTGGGTCTAATGAACCGATTTAAATGAAATTTGGTATGGAGATAGTTTGTGACTTTGGGAAGGACATATAGGAGATTTTATCCCGGAAATCATCCCTTAAGGGGGTGAAAATTGAGATAAAATTTTGTATGGGAAATCAACCAAGGAACAAATCCAAAAGAAGTATATAATTCTCTTCGTGTATAAACATATGCAAAAGTTTTATTTTCATTATTATATATTTTCAGGGACGCAGCGTGGGAGTTAGAACAAAATGCCTATTCAGATATGTACGAGCGTCCGGCGGTGTGCTGTGTGGACGAGTGCAAGTGTCCCGACGGTCGCGAGTTCGATGCTGAGTCCGGGTAAATACTTATAATAATGTCCTCGATATTGGCTAAAGATTAGGAGTTTTGTTAATTGTCTCAATCTAATCTGAGCTTAAATGTCACTGAATTTGCTAAGTGAAATTATAATTTATAATTAGCTCAGTTTGTAGTGTTCCTACTTGCCGTACCAGGGGTCGCGGGTTCGAGTCCCGCTGTGGGCATTCAGTTGTTTGATGAGCAATGTTTGTTTGAATGTTTGTACTCCAGTCATGGGTGCTTATAATATGTATGTATTTAAAGTTATACGTCCCAATTTATTTATTTATTATACCTAAAATTTCTTCTGTTATATTGTAAGAAGACGATTGAGAAAACTCCAGGCAATTATTATTCAATGGTTTTCACAATTTCCCTGCGACATATACACTAACAATAATACAATATAATAAAAAATAAAACGAAGCCGTCGCGGAATGTCTGACAGATGTGGAACACCGTAACTATTTTGTATAGGAAAAGGGTTTTTAAACACAGAAAAGATGACATAATTGAAAACAAATTGGCGACGCGTCGCCATGCCAACAGTCGGTTTTACCCGCTATATTAGATGTTTCACATCAATAAACCTAAGTCATTTTAAATAAAACCCACGAAGCAACAAAATGAATTCAAATAATTTAAAATGGGTAGTTTAGGGTTGGCTGTCTGTAACAACTATATAATGACCTATGAGACGTCTAAAACCTTATCTCTAGTGACCATGTGCGATGTAAAGCATTCGAAACGTCGAGAATCAAACATCAATATAAAACCGCGAAAAGATTGTTTTATTTAAATTGTCAAACATTTGTGTAAATCTAAGGAAGTATTATGTAAATCTAAACTTAAATATTCCAGGGAATGGGATATATCAGCGTGTTTACTATGCGGTGGTGGCGGCTCGCACCGCGCATGCGCACAGCTGTATGTATGTGCTGCGTGCGCACACGCAGGGCTCACTACCGACCAGCTGTGTGCACTGAAAAGAGGTATGTTTGTTGTGGTGGCTTAGTAGACTTAGTAGGCTTAGTGGTGGTAGGGAAGGTTTGAATAATAGTTTTTTTAAAAAAAAGAACTATACTGAGTAGCTATGCACTGCATAGAGGTTTATATATATTTACTCTCTCTTTGTAAAACAATATACGTCAAAAATATTTTTTCTCTATTTTCTATATATAAAATCATTTCGTAATTAAAAACATTTGTGTGCGCGATGGTATTTCGAACTGACGAACCCCTAGCGCGCCAGCAAGCATGCGGCGCGTGCCCCGCCGCCCCGCGCCCCACCTCGCCCCACCAATTTGACCGACAAATCGCTTCTGCGTAGCTTGACAGCCAGCGTTCTTTTTAGATGACGCGAGTTATAACACAAACACAATCTATACAGATAAATAAAATTGAAGTGTCTGTTTGTAATTTTAAAATAACAACTTCTTACTATATGCATATAAAATTATATACGGTACTTATAGGAAAAACACAATTTCTAATTTTTTTGTCTGTCTGTTTGTTCCGGCTAATCTCCGAAACGGCTGGACCAATTTTGACGGGGCTATCACTAGCAGATAGCTGATTTTATAAGGGTTAATTTAGGGTACTTTTATTTTAGAAAAAGAATTAGGGTTCCGCCCAAAAAAATTAAAACGTACCTAGGGACGTATATATTTTTATTACCTTTCTAGTGCCTCTGCCGTCTCAAAGTCAAACATCGAGGATAAGAACTCATGGACCAATAATGCCGAGTAGGATGTCATTGCGGAGAACTAAACAAAGAAGTAATATGTATACGTAAGTGTTAAAGTATTTATCTAACTGTATTACCTCAGTGTAGTGGTTCGGAGGTCCTGGGTTCAAATCCCGGGTCGGACTGAGCATCTTTCTGAGCTTCAATTTAATTCTCTTGTAAATTGCTTCAAAGTGTTGCATTAAATATTAGAAAATGTGACATTGGGGTTTCGCCAGGACAAAAGAAATAAAAACTTTTTAACAAAAAAATAAAAACCGACTTCAAACAAAAGCACTAAAAAGTAAAAAATAACTGATTGGTAGTTTTCATTTACTATACATACCTAATCAAATATTTTCGAAGTCGGTGTGCTTTGTTTTGTATGTTTGTATGCTGGCACCGATTTCGAAAATATTTGATTAGGTATGTATTTAATAGGTAGGCTTTAATTACTTAGCCAAAGCACACCGACTTCGAAAATATTTGATTAGGTATGTATAGTAAATGAAAACTACCAATCAGTTATTTTTTACTTTTTAGTGCTTTTGTTTGAAGTCGGTTTTTATTTTTTTGTTAAAAAGTTTTTATTTTTCCCTTTTAAGTGTAGACAGTAGTAGCAAAGTAAAGATTCTAACGTGTTAGGCTTGTCAAATCAAACAAAATAAGCCCAAACTCAAAGTATCTACTATTAGCCGTTGAAGAGTTCCACCTATCCACCTTCTGGCCTTGCCATCAGATCAGGTCAACAACACCGAACCACTGTACTATCAACGGAAATAGAAATACTTCCAAAGTTTCAAGTCAATATGACAATTAGAAGTAGGTTAAATTCATAATTAGTGGTTTTTCCACCCTTAGGGGTGGTATTTTTTTTTTAAATTTAAATGGGACCAATCTGGAAGTATACCCTTTCAAACAAAACAAAAATTGTCCAAATCGGTTAATAAATGACGGAGTTCTGAGGTAACAAACATAAAAAAAAAAAAAAAAACATACAGTCGAATTGAGAACCTCCTCCTTTTTAAAGTCGGTTGAAAATAGTTCAAATAAATGTCAATAGATGTTTTTTTGATATGATTTGTTATGGATGTAAGATATGTTGTATGATGTAAAATCGGACGCAGTTATGCAAAATGGATCCAGCCCACGAAAACCGTTAAAATGAGTTCCTGTCATAAATGGCACCTACATTTATCAACTTAAGTATATGCAAAAAATATCTAAGGCGCAAAGATTTTTGTTTTCTTTTGAAACATACAGACGCTAACGAGCAAAATATTATGAATTTTCGTATAGTTAGAATTCAAATAGAACCATGTGTCATGGTAACATAGATAACGGGTTATGAAAAAACTACGGTCTTGTTATTCTGATATACCAAATTTTAGTAAAACTCCTATTTACTCAAAAGTAAGTTTTTGTGATTGGATCTATTTTGCATAATTACATCTAATTAATCCTATTATTATTAATATTATAAATGCAAAAGTGATGTATTACAATAAATTGCTCATTTAATATAACTCTTACATTACAGATCATCTACATCAATGCACAATTTACATACAAACGTTCAAAATGGTAAGTTTTTATATTAATATGAAATACATAAATTAATAATTATTATTATAACTAAAAACTAAACAAATATGGGATTTATGTATGGGTATTATTAAAACAAATCAAACGAGCCCCAACTCTATGGTGTAACCAGTAGCCATTGAAGAGTTTCACTATCAGTTCCTACGTACATCATCAGATCTGTGGGATGATATAATATATACAAAAATATTGTATTCTTATTTTCTTCCGTATTTATTTTTGTTTTTTTTATTTCAGTATTACCAACAGAAGAAAGCCGAATGGAATTAAATTTGAAACCACCGAAAAAACGTCTATTTGAAAATACAAGCTATCAGAAAGCCGATACATTTTCATCGCCAGTGAAATTGATTGAAAGGGAAATAAAGGAGAGATATAATACAAATTGTATCGCCGATTTTGATAAAGTTTTGACTAAAGTGATGGAAAAGTTTCGGAAGCCCAGGCCTTTGGTTGAGAAGAAGAAAATTGTGCAGTAAGTATGGAAGTGCCACTAAAATAATACTCGGGGATCAGGCCACAGTCCCCCACGATGGCCAAGTGCGGGCGGACTGAGCATATCTGCAGACAACTTGCTAGGTTCTCTCAGACATGCAGGTTTCCTCACGACCTTTGTCCTTCACCGTAAGACAAGTGGCAATCATGTTGAAAATGATCCGCACATTAAATATCAAAGGTGCGAAACCCGGGATTTGAACCCGCTTCAGTCGGTTTCTCAAGCTAGTAGCCGATTTCGGGATATAGCCAGAATAAACAGACAGACAGACAAACATTAAAAAATGTGTTCAAAGTAACATATATAATTCCATACGCATTTAATAAAAAGCTATTATTTTGATATTTACACAGAGACACTTCAATTTTATTTATCTGTATAGATATTAGAAATTTGTTGGTAAACCCATTTTATATAAATTGTTTTTTTTTTCTTCGCAGTAAAATAATAGAAGGGCTAATAAATAATTTAAGTAAAGAAAATACGAAAACCAAAGAAGTAATTAAAGAGTGGAATTCACCGAAGAAATGTTTGAATGATGTAAATGTAAGTTTGTTTAGTTTTAAATGATAATAAATAATAATGTATGGGATTTCTTGAAACTACTCAAATGAACCCCAACTCTGCGGTGAAACTAGTAGCCATTGAAGAGTTCCACTATCAGCTCTTTCGACCTCCATCAGATCAGTGAGATGGTGTCAAATTATCGTCAGCTGGATGTCTCATACAAATATCGACGCATTTATATGTTATATATTATGTATAACGTGATATATGACTGCCTCGGTAGGGTAGTGGTTATCATGTACAGCTGCACATGCGGAGGTCCTGTGTTTGAGTCCCTGCTCGGGCCAAAATATTGAGTCTTATTGTGAAGAAAGTCCCAGTAAAGCCCTTCAGTCCAACATTCTTAAGTCCATAGGTTTGAGTAAAACTACTAATTTGCATTGGTAAATAATAATAAATTGATATTTTATTTTAGGAAAACCCACAAGCAATTATAGATTTAACTCCCAAAAAAGGAAAATCTGAATCAAATGAAGAATTATTACTAATAGAAGATAAAAAAATAAAAAATATAGAACAAAGAACTCCCACGAAAACAATTTCGGTAGAAGGAATAAGAGATACAATTTTATTTATAAATGACACGACTAAGTTAAAAAAAATTAACATTCAAAGCGACTCTATGGAAATATCTGAAAATGAGGAAAAAGTGAACATTGATTTGGTGAAAGTTGAAGATGAAATGTCCCCGAAAACTGATAAAAAAGGAAAATGTCTCAAGTTCAGTCCGTTTGAAGGGAATTTAGAAAAGAATATGGATATAGATGTGGAAAGTTTTAAAAATCAATACTTAAATGAAGTTGACAGAAAGTTTTGTTGTAATTTCGAACACAAACACACAAACAATCAGAATAATAATGTACAATTAAAAACCGCTATCGATTTCGCGGTGAACACTTTAAATAAACCGCCAAAACGAAAACTACCATCGGACAATAATGTTGCCAGCAAGAGAATAAAAATTACCAAAATGGTCAAAAATAAAAAATACAAGAATAAAACCGAATTATCGATTCGCAATAGGAATATTAATTTGAGGATTAAATGGAAGAACGAGGAGGTGAATTTGAAAATTTCCAACTTGAAGAAGAGAAATAGAAGGAGTAGGAAGAAAAAGAAGAAGGTTTTAAAACAATATGTACTGAGCCCTCAAGCGGATGGCAGCGATATAATAAGGAGACCTACGAATGACGTCTCGCCAATAAAAAGAAAATATATTAAAACAGAAAAATCGTCGGATAATTTAAAACAAACCTCCATTGCTAGCTTTTTTAAAGTTAAAACGAATGAATAATTAACTCATTGTGAATAATATTACCGTGACTGAATATTTGACTGACAGACTAATATATGTAGCGATTTTAAATATCGTTGACACGTTTGGCTCAGTTTGTAGTGACCCTACTTGCTGTGCCAGCGGTCGCGGGTTCGAGTCCCGCTGTGGGCGTTCAGTTGTGTAATGAGCACGAATGTTTGTACTCCAGTTATGGATGTTTATATATAATAGGTATGTATTTAAAGTTATATATGTGTAGAGTATCAATTATCTGGTATCCTAAACAGAAGCCTCGTAGCATACCATGGAACTAGATGGTGCTGTGTGTTAATGTCCCAAAAAAAGTTTTCAAAAAGAGATTGAAAGAAAGAGAGAAAAGGAATTGAGATATTGAAATGACATTTAAAACATTGGTTGCTTTTACTAAGTGTCTAAATAGATATTTTTTTAATATAATTTATGTACGCATCACTTTTATACTAAGTATAAACTTAACATTTTTTTTATTTATATTAGCTATCTTATCATCAGAAGTGTGATTATAGAAGAATATCCATTGAAATGGATATTTTTTTAAATTTCCTTAACAGTAAATCCCATGGGATTAATTTCTACATAATTTTTTTTTGTTTTATTATTTTATTTGCTACCTTATATTGATGTAAGAAATGTATACGTCTGATATTTATAGTTTAATGTAGTTATTTTTAATAAATATATTATTATCAATTTCATTGTTTTATTTAACCATAAAAATAAATATTTTTGAATGTTTGAACTGCCTTATCTCAAAAACTGTTAGTTTTAAAACTTGTTTAAAAAAGTATTTATTGAGTAATGTTATATAACAAATACAGTTTCTGTCTGTCTGTTAATTTTTTACCAATAATAAACTGCTGAGCAGATTTCAATGGAATTTAGCAAAGAAATAGATTGCATTATGCCACGTTCATCTGTCATAGACTCTCATCTGATTCTATACATAACATGTCTTCTCAATTCTACGAGATATTGGCGAAGTAAATTGTGCCCAAATGACACGCTTAAGCCATTGAACAACAATTAAACTGAACCTATATATCTATACATATAATAAAATTCTAGCCGAGTCAAATCTGTACATGAAATGTTTTTTGGAAAATCTTATTGAAATTGTCATTATTATCTATACAGAGGCCGAATCTATAGTTTTTAGAATTTTTGTCTGTGTGGAATGGATAAATATTATTGGCGAAAATGCATTAGTTAGGAAAAAGTTCAAGTGTAAAAATATTTTTATTGATAAATTATAACTATTATTGCTCAATATTACATTTGGGGGGCATATCAGTTCATATATGCGATAAGAATCAAGAAACACAAAATTCTAACTATATAATATGCAAAAATTACGTAACGAATTCAATAACATGAATATATATTTTCTTAAAAAGGAGTAGAAGCAAAATTTTATAATAATGAAATACCTTATAACAATTTTTACATATTTAAATCCCATACGAATAGTTTATTACGTAATAAAAATATATATCTTTATATATATAATTCTTCTGTGAGTGTGTATGTCACTGAACTTCTCTCAAACGACTGGACCGATTTTGATGAAATTTTTTGTGTGTGTTCAAGGGGATCTGGGAATGGTTTAGATTCACAATTTGAATAATAATTTTCATCAAAAAAATTATTAAAAAAAGTTTGAAATTTTCAAATTAAAGACGTGTAGACAGGACAACGTCTGTCGGGTCCGCTAGTATATTATAAATTAATAGAGATGAATAATTATATAAATATAGGAACTATTTTTCAATTTTATACCATATTACATAAAATATGGTAGATTTTTTTGTAACGCATTCATTATGGCAACACTTAACTTTTTTTGTTTATATACTAGTTTACTTACAGTACACCAAAACAAGTTCAAATAAGCTAGTCAGTTGTTGTATCGATAGTGAATCATTTATTTTTGCATTTTAACAACAAAATACTTATTACATATACAAATCAATTTTACTTACTTATAATAATAAATTAATTTACATTTCCAATTGTTTTCCAATACTTTTAAAATCAGTTCCTTTGTTATTTTGTGAAACCTACGCGACGTTGCCGTTCGTAACGCTAACTTGCTAACTTATTTATCTAACATAGTTAATTGATATAACAATTAAGCTTTTTAAAACAATTCTGTGAACTTTTTTAACAAGAATAAATGAAAAAGTTATGTTAAAGTGCTTTGAGATGTGTGATTTTGAGCTAAATTCATTGTCTGACGCAATAACGGTTTGGCAACAGCGCGCATCGGACTGAATTCACTCCCAATGTTTTAGATTCGGACTCATTCTGAATTACAACATCAAATTTTACTTTATGAGGTGAGATATTTTAATAATTTATTATTTTTAACATTATTTTAATATTAATATTCGTAAATTTTAAATTAAAAGTTGTTTTTTGAGTAAATTTGATTTACCCGCGCCATGACGTAATTCAGCCATCTTCCTGAATGTGTCAGTTGTACTAAAACTGCTAAAGAGTTTTATTCGTGCGAGGTGAAAAATAATATTATTCCTCATATAAGGCGGTTTCAACCCCCATTTTCACCACGGAAGCATCCGGGTAAGTTAAATTTGCTTCTAAATGTATAGTTTTGTGATAAAAATTACAAAATAAGTAATAAAATTGCGGTTTTTTATATACCTAAGTATAACCTACATTTACTCAACGTTTGGGACCCGTTTTTTGGGTCAACCAATGTCTTTGTACCAAATAACCAGCCTTTCCTACCTTTTTTGCGTAAAACTTGTATTATATATGTAAATTGATTATAATAAGAAAAGTATGAGAATAGAGTATAGTGACGACAGATGTTATATTTCTTATTAGAAAAGGTTATTTTTTACATTTTTAGATTGTGAACAATCAAAAAGCTTCTAATATTATAGATTATAATTATATATTTTCATTGTTTCGTATGTTTCCTATTTAGGTGATTTCTAGAAAGTTCTAGTTGACTTATGAAGCAACTTGTTGAAACTTGAAACTGGCATGAATTGTGTTATTCTCGATTTCTCTTTATCTATTTAATAACAAATATTTTTCTATTTAAAAACTACTATGTTCAATTTTTAAAGTTATATTTATTTTGGCGCGTTATGGAAAAATTTATGAGATTTTTTTACAGTGCAACAGATTTAGACTACAGTATGTAGACTTGGGTAACTCAATGAATTTTTATGAGCTGCAGGTCAGCTCATGAGTCATATGCTTGAACCGGAGCTGTGAACCGGCTCACAGTTCAGCTCAATTGATGTTATATGGGTACTTATAACTATAGATTTACAGCTAATTTATGACTCTGTTCAAACAAATGACATGTATGATGTACCTAAATTAAATTTGTATGTAATAAAGCAGCATTTCGAAAAAAGTTATTATAGTCATATTTTTTCGTTCTTACACAACTATAGGGTAATGCTAATTTCATGCAATTATATCTTTACGTCGCAAAGAGTATAATAATATAGATTATAGACTATAGTACAGGTCCGTCGGCTCGGGTCCATCAAAATAGCTGACGTTAGGTGGCGCTAAAGTGATGCACGGAGCCATATTAAGTAATATTGAGCTGTGAACCGTTTATCTAGCAACTGAGCCGCAGCTCAACGGCTCTAGCTACTGTGAACTGAATATTTGAACCGGCTCTGAGCTGAGTTACACATAGTGAACAGTATGAAGTCAGTTGTTATTAGACTACAGTCTGAAGTCATTTGTTTAATTTCCCTTTAGTATAGACTCATAGAGTGATGTCTAAATTCAATACATTTATTTATAAAGTTGGCTAAATTGTAAAGATTTGTTCAACTACCTCCAATATTGTACCTCACAGATGTTTTTAGGTTATAATAATTATTAGTCAATGAATAAAAAAAATGTGGCGAGTAAATGTTTGAATGAATGAAATTAAAAACATTTTTTTTTTGTAAATTAATATCTGTAGAGTTACTTAATAAGAGTTTTTATCACTTAATCTTTGAAGCTATGATTTCATAATATTTTCCTTGGGTTTATGCAAATATTTGATATTTCAAATAAAATTATCTTTTCGGATTGTTTCATGGATTTATTTTAATTATTGGTTCCCGACATTTTGAATAGTTTAGAGCAAATTAGTCACTGGAGAGACTTTCCAGAGGTTTCATTATAGAAATGTTGAACATGACTTAATGAACTCTATCGAAATGCATATAATTATTTTGTTTTGACTTAAAGATAAAGTAAGTTAAACTGTAAAACATAAAGGTCATCATTCTTTTTTTTATTAAATTTGTATTCAATATCCATGAATAATCAACAAATGTTATATGGCTACAACAGTATCTCCTGTACAAATTGTAGAACATACATTATCGTTAAATATGTTTGTCATTGGTTGGTCATATACAAACACTTATGCAAATTCAAAGTTGATATATAAAATTTAGTTAATGAAATATTGTTACATATTGTATGCCCCACTGCTGGGCATGGGCCTACCTTCAATACAAGGGTGATCAGGCCATAGTCCACCAGACTGGCCAAATGTGGGCGGACTGAGCATGTCTTTCAAATATTTGCTAAGGTCTCTCAGACATGCATGTTTTCTCACAATGTTCTCCTTCACCATGAGACAAGTGGTGATTATTTGTTGTTACATAATGGAATTTGTGAAAGGCTTCTTCTTCATTTTATTATACTAAAGTCCTGGACTTTGAGTAATTTTTGCTTCAACTTATAGAAGTGACTCACATTATGTTTGCGGCTGACTAATAAAATATTGCCTAATTACTTATAGACCGTAAACTATCTCCATGTGAAATAATTGAAAGGTGATTCTAAAAACTATAGATTCGGTCTCTTTATCGATTATAATGACTATTTCAATAAGATTTTCAAAAAAATATTTAATGTACAGATTCGGCTTGGTTACAATTTTATTATATGTATAGATATATAGCCTAAAGCCTTCCTCAATAACCAGGCTAGCTAGTAGATAGTATTAGATTAGTAGTTCTTGAGATTAGCGCGTTGAAACAAACAAACAAACTCTGCCTCTTCTAATATTAGTAAAAATGACACGGATCCTGCCTCAATTCACCATTGGTAAAGGTTTTTTTTTATTGTTAAATTATTAATATTCAGTTGTTATCAACTAAATAAGAACAGACGCAGACGAAACCAGAAATAAACAGCTAGTTTAAATATAACCTATATAGTTTCAACAAAAACAAGTTTTTTTTTTTTTGCACGATAAATAAAACTGCGCATATGTCGTATTTACGCAGCTGTTTAAAAAAGTTTTAGATACGGCACCGGATTGCGATAAAACCTTTTCAATATTGACTTTTATAATAACACTATTGTCTCGATATGGGTGTTTTAAATACATAATAATCGTATACAATTCATATTTTTGACCGACTTTAGAAAGGAAAATGGTGTTTGATTCGGTTGTATTTTTTTTGTACGTGTCCCAATATTTTCGTTCAATTTTGAATTAAATTTACTTTTAATATTTATTACGTATATTTTTAATAAATAGATTGTATCTTAAGGGTAGGCTTTATGTACATTTCAGGAGTACTCATTATTAGTGTTTTTTTTTTTTCAAATAAATATAAGTATATATAGCATGGACTTATCGTTGTTTCTCGTTACATTTGAAGGAGTATAATTATTAATACTAATATTATAAACGTGAAAGTGTGTTTGTTTGTCTTTCATTCACTATGAAACGGCTTGGCGGATTGGTGTGATTTTTTGTGTGGAGATATTTGGAGGGCTGGAGAGTGATATAGGCTACTTTTCACCGCGGGAGATTATCTCTTTCCCAAGGGAAAATACGTTAAAATAAAATTCAAAAAAATATTTATGATCAGAATTAATTGAAACTTAATATAAATGCTCTTCAATACATTCAATTAAATACGTATTTTAGCATTCTTCGAAATTCATCCCATAACGGGGTAAAATAGCGGATGAAAGTTAGTATGAAACCTACCATTTTTTTTTATTTTTTTTTGTAGTTTTAGCGCGAGCGAAGCCGCGGGTTCTGCTAGTTATTATATAAATATTATTATCATTTTAAAATAGGTCATGGCAAAATTTCACCCTACTCGAATCCTAACTCCCCTATCCTTCTAGTCGTGTCCAACATCCCCTTAGTAAATATAACATCACATTAGCACGCAAGCTAGGAGTACTAAATTCAAGTTCCAAAGATTGATCTACTTTATTGATTAAATTTTATTCAAATTGGTCTAGTTTATAGATTATAAATTTAAATTTTAAATTTTTATATTAAGCTCTTTCCCTTTATAAGCAAATAAGGAGTGGTGCGATATTTATAAATAACATGCAGCTCTCCCTCGCTTTGCTCGTGTTCGCCTCTAGAACAACAAAAACAAATCTATTCCACGGGAACCGTACATTTTTCCGGGATATATGCCTATGTGCTATTCCAGACTATTTTAACTAGTGCCTTATCCCAGCTTCTCTCTAGGTCACCTAACAGCAACCTAAGTATTTGCGTTCTAAATTTCATCAAAATCGGCCCAGTCGTTTCAGAGTAATAGAGTGACAAACAAACACATAAACTTTCCTATTTATAATGATATCGTGAAAATAATTAGTTAAATACATAGTGGTGTTGCCATACCGGTTTACTTACGTCTTAAAGTTAGAATTCCGCGTTTTTTAATCTGAGTGACGTCATATCAAGGTTATAGATAACTCTCTGTCAGAAACTAAAATATATGTTTTTTTTTTAAATGATATCTGTATTCGAAACCGTCATAAAAGATATAATATGAAAAAAATAACGTTTTTTCGCCGTGCTAAATTTTTCGCATTTTTTCGGTATAATTTTTAGTTTTTTGACTTTTTCATTATTGTATTTGTTTTTACTGTCTGCTCGGTTGTCAGTGTTTGTGTAAGTATATTATATACTTATCTAGCTAGTATGTATGGTCGCAGATCCGGAGGTTTTGGGTTCGAGTCCCGGGTCGAGCCAAGTTTAAATTTTGAGTTTATCTCTTATCATCTCCAGGTTAATTTCTAAGAAATTAATTAAATTTCTAAGAAATCTATTGTTAACTGACACTGAGCTATATTATTGTAAAGTTTCATCAAAATATATTCAGTAGTTTTTGCGTGAAAGAGTAACAAACATACATCCATATTCACAAACTTTCACATTTATAATATTAGTATAGATTAATATGTATTAATTAGAACGGTTGTTGTAATCAGTAATGATTACAGCAACCGTTCTAATTAATTTGTTATCTCTACTGTGATTTTTATATTTTTATTAACGACCCTGGTTTCGCTAGGATGCGTTATTAGGTGTCATTCCAGTTCATGGTCTACCTGTGTACATCAAAATCCGTCCAGTCGTTTCGGCGTAAAGGAGAAACAAACATACAAACTTTCGCAGTTACAATAGTAGCCTGTATGTATAGTCTGATGTAGACGTTATCGGTCGAAGTTATTTTTGCTACTTGCTGATAGGAAATTTACCTAATCAAATGCATTTTTATCTAAACCGGCTTGTCAAATTTAATTCGATCCATGATTAA